CAGGTCGAAAAGTACCTCGCGGAAAATAAACTAATCTATGAATTTCAATCTGGCTTTAGAACATCCCACTCCACTGACACATGCCTTCTTTATTTGAGCGACCACATCAAACAAGAGGTGGACGAGGGCAAGTACTGCGGCATGGTGATGCTGGACCTACAAAAGGCTTTCGACACTGTCAATCACCCCATTCTGATTGACAAGCTAAAAGCAATTGGTTTTGATAAACTATCGGTGAGCTGGATGCAATCCTACCTGGAGGGGAGAGAACAGATGGTGGAGGTAAACGGTACTCTGTCCCCCCCCCTCCCAGTGAGCTGTGGTGTTCCACAAGGAAGCATATTAGGTCCGTTACTGTTCCTAATTTATGTAAATGACATGTCATCAGCATGTGACTGCAACTTGTTCCTGTTCGCGGACGACTCAGCCCTGCTGGTCTCTGACAGGAACAGGTTGCAGGTTGAAAAAACCCTCAGCTCCGAGCTCGGCAGAATCTGCACCTGGCTCGCCGATAATAATATCATTACACCTGGGTAAAACAGAGTCCATTCTCTTCGGTTCGAAACATAATCTCAGCAATTCCGACGACTTCTCAGTTGCAGTGGGTGACATTATTGTCACAAGTAAGAAGGAAATTACATACCGAGGATCTATTCTTGAGGCAAACCTCTCCTGTGACAAAATGGCATCCAATGTAATAAAAAAAGTCAATCAAAGAACTAGATTCCTATACCGGATCTCCTCTCTGGTAAACAAAAACACCCTGAAAACTCTGGCAGGAGCACTCATTCAAGGGTACTATGACTATGCTTGCACGTCATGGTACCATAGCACCTCCAAGGCGCTAAAAATAAAACTTCAAACATCGCAAAATAAACTGGTCAGACTACTGCTTGACCTTTCATCTAGAACCCACCTCACCTCTGCCCACTTTGACAACCTAGGATGGCTTAGAGTAGACGACAGAGTACAGCTACTTGCAATGGGCCTGGTCTACAAGATCCACTACACCTCTATGGTACCCATGTACATGTCAAAATTCTTCCCAAAGGTCAAGGAATACCATGATCATAACACCAGAGGGAGCTCCACAAATCATGTGAAACCCAGATTTGGCACAAAAAAGGGGGAATACACGTTTCGCAATTATGCCACATCAAGGTGGAACGCTCTTCCCACAACTGTAACGATGATGTCTTAAATGTCCGGTTAGGATGTATTAGAACGAAATCTAAAATTAAAATTGTAAATAAGCAATCTGTATATAAAAAACCACCTGTATGTAAATTGTAAATAAGCCATCTGAATGTCAAATATGTCTTATATGTCTTAAATGATATGATGAATTGGAAATGGGGGACCCTGATGTAAACAAGACGAAAGTCTTTCTCTGGTCTGCATCCCCTTAACAATTGTATGTTTTGAGCTGTACTGTACTGTACCCAATATACAAGCTGTTAATAAACTTTTCAATCAATCAATCAAACATTGGTACAGATGAGGAGCTGGTATTGCTATTTTTTAAAATATATTTAAAATATTTTTTTATAATCAAAACATTTCCTTATCAGTTTTTTGTTATCTATCCATTTCAGTTCACCATTTACTGCATTTCTACAGATTCCTTTGATTTGTTGTTCTTATTTATTATAAACAGTCATTGTTTTTTTAATTGGCATTCAAACTGACATAGTTCAGCCATTTTAGTCTACTTCATATGCGTTATACACTATGGTTAATTTGGTAGATAATAATAATACATTCAATGTATATAGCGCTTTTCCTGGTGCTCAAAGCACTTTACAAGCAAGTAAAGAAGATAAATATAAATATATATATATATATATATATATATATATATATATATATATTTATATTCAAATAGTGAACCACGTTGGATAGCTTGATAGAGATAGTTTGAGTACATCTATATACTGAGAGTCTATGCTAAAGCTTTTTAACATGTTCGTCTTCTCAATACTGAAACTTTCAACTCTACCTTTTCTCCAGCTTACTGAATAATGAAGGATCACTCCTGGCCTACTCTGGGTACGGAGATACTGATGCACGGGTGACAGCTGCCATTGCTAGCAACATCTGGGCAGCCTACGACAAGAACGGCCACCAAGCCTTTAACGAAGACAAACTGAAATTCATTCTCATGGATTGTATGGTAAGACATTATTTTTTAGGTATGTCATGAATTTGTGTGATATGAATAGTTTATATAGGGACTCATTTTCACTTACTGTTTTGTCTCTCAGGAGGGGAGAGTGGCCATCACCCGCGTCGCCAACCTGCTACTGTGTATGTACGCCAAAGAGACAGTGGGTTTTGGAATGCTTAAAGCCAAGGTGAGTTTTTCATCAGTCGATGCCAAAATCACATAATGGTTCCCTATACAACCAATGTCCTGCCTTTACTTCCATGGAATTAGTTGTACTGGCCAATGTCATTTATATAATCCCTGTTATACAAATGATATTGAAGGTACTCTTCCTCCATCATGTCATAGTCAATAGTAGTTTATAACTTAATATAGCAACAAGTGAACGTGTTGGACACAGCTGTTCATGGGATATGTAAAGATGGAGGTTTGCAAGCCCCATACCCATGTGTACCCTCATCTTTTTAAATAGAAACATGATGGGTTTCTGCAGCGTTAATGTTGATCCCGGTGAATAATTCAACCCCTGTGGACATTCAAAAAGTACTAGTATTGAGAAGTTAAAATGACCAAATATTTGACTTTTCTTGCAGGAAATGTTGTCATATAGAGGAAGCCATATACTACAGCTTGTTACACTACAACTCATAAGGCAAAGGCTTAAACTAGTTCAGCATAACTCGTCAATCTGAATGCAGCCTTTGTCAGAATTGTTCTGTGTATGTTGTGTTTACAGGCAGAAGCTCTGGTGCTGTACCTGGAGGAACCATTAACACAAGTAGCAGCATCCTAGTGGAGATGTGACTGAAGCTCTGCCTGTTGCCTATGTGTGCATGGGGAAAATACATCATGTGACCCAGGCATTTCATGGACTACTGTAACATTCTGTGTACATGCATATATCTATGTGTGTGTGTTGGATTGAGGGGGGTTAGTGTATTTATATTCATGGTATTGAAACTATTAAGTTGTATTGAGTTTCTATTGATTTGCCCAGCTTTATGACTCTTGTGCTCATCTAATTGTCTGTTCTGAAAGTCCACATTAATTGTTAATAGTAAGTTAAGTGTACAACTGCTGAAATGATCCGATCCACTGTATCTACGGTTGATTAATTCATTTGCAGGTTAAGCTCAGGCAACTAAGCAGACGATGTAACACCTTGAACCCTGTCGGTGGAGTCAAATGGTTTCTGAAAACGTTCAGGACAATGCAGTTGAGTTCATTTGTTTTGTTTCAAAGCTATCAAATAAACAACTTTTGGTTTCATATTAACTTTTTTATCTTGTTTTCATTCTCTGCACTGGTGCTTGGTGTGAGTGCTACTCTTTTGGATGAATGTAAAGCTACAATATCAGGTCTACCTGGATTTTTAGAATAAGAATTTGAAAGTTGACAAAGTTGAAGTTTTCTTTGGTACAAATTAAATTGAGAAGTTTTCACTTTCATCATGGCAACATTGTTAGACACAGATAACTTAACAAATACAGAGCTAAAAGAGGCCGATAAAGCTTTTATGGCCCTAAACATAAACCTTTAAAACTCCAGACAGTTTGAGTGACCTTGAGCTCTTTGGCAAAGGAGAATTGGAGGAACATGAAAGATGGCTGATTAAATTAATCAAAATAAGTCTCAAAGTCATATACACTTGAAAGAAATGAAGGCTTATTTCAACAAGGCATTTTAAAGGACCTTATTCAGTGATACTCAATTTACTTTCCACTGGCCACATTCATTCTCTGTGCTTTCAAAGTTAATTGTGTGCCAGGGTGCATTAACAATGAAAAAAACATCAAAATAGACCAGAAGATTTAATTCAACATTTTAGAAAATAAATATATGCCCCATGAAAAAAAGTCTAAACTGAACTACACGGTACCACCCAGGAATGGGGATATTCAGATCCTTAAATGTGTGTTTTTCACAATATCTTTAATACGCTTGATCTTTGGTCACTTGTAGAGATGGTTTGTGTTAATAGTTTATGTTTACGAATCATTAAATCACTTGAGTCATTGCAGGATAGAATAAGTTATGTTTAATGTTGTTTAAACTCTCAAACAAAAGCCTTTACAACTAAAATGCATTTTTGAATGCAGTAAAGGGACTGTGTCAAGGTTTGTGCCAAACTAATTCCTAGTTAAGTGATGTTAATGAGTCAGTTAATTTGAAAATAACATTGATTATGGGCCTTTCCATGTTTGATTATACTATATTTTCCCTATATATCACCCAGTCCTCCTGTCATGTTCAAAACTGGTCCAAGGAAAAAAGCAAGTTGAGTATCCCTGACTAATTGTTTAAATAGAGAATATGAACATACCTGGATTTTTTTAAATAATTATGAAGAACAAATGTATTACTCTTTCTTGGCTAAATGAGATGGACATATGAGTCTGAAGATAATATAATATATGATGTACTTTATTAATCCCAATTTGGGAAAACATGTTGTTGCAGCAGCATAAATAGAAACAAGGCATTGCACATAATAACAAATTAAAAGAGTAGAAATAAACAATTCTAAAATATAAACATCTCAAAATAGAAGGTGCTTTTAGTTATTTGTATTTGCGGTATAATATAATAAACCTACCATGTTCATACTGGTTTATGCTGGGATTTAGTGTTTTGCTTCATTTAGTGATGAAGCAATACACTTGCTTCCTGCTTCCTGCATGCATTACTCGTATTGGTCCAGCAGGAGGCACCTGGCAGCCCTCAGCCTTACCTGCCCCACCTGTCCAACCTGCCTGCAGGAAGCCCCGCCCCCTCAGCTGCTGCCCCACCACTCCCTGACAGGAGCCCCGCCCCCGCAGCACAACAACCTGGATACACTCAGCATGTCTTGTTCAAACAAGCCAGCTTTCTATCACCTCAGATAGGGAAGGGTAGCAGAAGGGCAGAAAACTGGCGACTGGCATTCATGTGTTGAAACATTTCTGCAGCCATTTTTCCTTCCTGAAGCCTGAGGATCTGAGAGGCAGACTGCGGTGAGAGCCAGTATCGTCTTACATCCTGCAGGAGTGTGTGAGTGCTGGAGACACGGCAGTAAACCGAGGGGAGGCAACACTGGATGGACAGAATATGGGGTCAGATGAGGCTTACAACTTTGTCTTTAAGGGTGAGTGCAAGTTCTCCTGCTTACTTGATCCAAACCCCAGATACATCCCTAAAGTTTGAAAGGTTTTATGTTCTGTGATGTTCCTTTGTCCTTTAAATTATACTTCCTTGTTTATGATTAACCTGGTTGTTTGCATGCTAGGAACAGGGATATGTGTGGTGTGGTTACAAAATGCAATACATATTTAGTAATAAACATTTTACAACTCAATCCGTATAATAAAACAACACATGGTAAAACACAGATAATACAGCTATACGCCTGAATCTATATGTATATGAACAGTTCAGTCAGCTGATTAGATGTTGGATGTTGATGTTTGGCAAGTTTTAAGGTGAGTTTTATTACTACAAAGTTGAATTGTACTACAATCACATTGCAGGTTCAGCACTTTTCTCTGGGAGTACATGGGAAGCATACACCACATTTTGTTCAAACCAGGATGTGTACTTAAAATCCTTGTATCCGTTTATTTGCAACATAACAATGTTGTAACATAGAGTTTCTAGTTTAACACCCTGTGTCACAGCAAAGACACATAGTTCATCACTCGTAAAAGACAATACATCCAGTTTGTAACAGTGTTCTTTAATAAGAAGCAGATGCTCTCACTCACTTTATTCATTCTGCACTAAACCTTCATAGCACTATAATAATTTCTTATATGCAGCTTGGTAAGGTACCAGATGGCTCTTAGCAGATGTAAGTGAAAGTCATTCAGAGAGGTGATTTGGTTCAGGTGGTTTGACATTTGGGTACAAACTGCCATGCTGATAAAAGGCACTGCAGGTGAATGTGAAATCCAAAGAATCGGTATCCTAAACATCAAACAGCATCACATGCACTGGTCCCACTGCAACATTAGCAATAGCTTAAGAATCATAAAAGAGTTTGATATCATTTCCTGTCTGTATCTATTGTCAAAGCTATCAGAAATGGCCAATAATAATCTTTTCAATGGTAAACCTGCACAGATGAGTTAAGTTGACAGAAAAAAAACGTGTCCAACTATTTAGTTTAATAGTACAAAAGTGGCACAATATGCTGTGTTCTGCATCTCAAAAAAGATATTGCTGGCTTGTCCTTGTTTTATAACATAGTAACCTGCATATCTCTGGGACATTTATAGACATCACCTTGGACTTGGATGGATATGTTTCACTAGTATCTGACATTTTAACGATCCAACAATTAATCAATTCATCTAGAAAACAATTGGCAGATGTTTTGATTCTTTCTGTCTCACAGGAGCAGAGGATTAGCCTGTGGTTGAGTTGCAGTTTCTGATGGGGCTGAACAGTCAAACTCAGTCCAGTCCAAGAGTGGCAGGCCCTGTCTAGACTCTATGTATATGTGTAATCTGCACCTGGTAATGATGACAATCTCTCAGCCCTTTTTATAAAAGTAAGGGGAAGTACAGTCAGTACAACATAACACCCTTTACTCTGGTTTAGTTAAAAAGGAACAAAAAAGATAACTTCATATTTTAAAACTTTGGGAAACATGCTTTTTTGCTGTCTTACTGAAGGTTACACAAGAAGATGGACAGTTATGTTTTACAGTAAATATAAAGCAGTAGTTTAGTTTAGCTTAGCATAAAAACTGGCTCTATCCAAAGATGGCAAAATGTACCTTCTAGCACCGTTAAAGATTACTAGTTTTTAACACATTAAGTCCAATTTGTTTAATCTGTGCAAAGACTTCAGTGTTAAATTAACAACGCATGCCTTTAAAGAGCCTTACAGTATACGTGCAGGACATTGCTACATATCCCCCAGTCTCCAGTCTTGGCTAAGCTAAGCTAACTGTCTGCGGGTTGTGGAGTCTTATATTTATCATACAGGTGGCTTTTGATTTTCTCTAGTTAACTCTTTAAATAAAAGCAAATAAGCGTAGCCTATTACCCAAACTAATAAACTGTTCTTTTAATGTGGAAAATAAATAATAATAATAATAATAATAATAATGGATGCAGTAACGGGAGCTGGAAAATTAAACTCCTTCTTAAGGAGTTTAAGAAGGAGTGCTCCTTCGTAGTGTGTGTTATCTTGCAGGTTTTCATTCCCCCCAGTGATTCACAGAAAGCTCAGAGAACTAATCAGTAAAATCAGATTACATGCTCTCGTGCCCCTATATACTGTACATGGCAACATTGCAGAAGAAGTTTAATTATTATCACTTCACAACAACTAAAGAGAATCAGTTGCAAAAATAACATCTAAAGACGTAAAATATAGGGCAGAAGTTAAAATATATCGAAAAAATATAACTTTATTGCATATACAATTTATTATCTTGTGTCAGACACAGTAATGGAAAAATGAATAAAATAATATAAACAGATGGATAATAAGTGCATATTCATAATCAGATGAAATAAACATACATAGCAATGTAAGCAGTTGTAAAACAGTAAATAAAAGTAAGCCTATGCAAAGGTTAAGGGACACTAGTGATACAGTAAGGACGATGCAGGAGTGAGTTTATTTTATGCAAGGGTTTTTTAGTTTTGCCAACCACTCAACATGTGTATATAATGAGATAACTAGACATTTCTAAAGAAAATATAAGAAACAATACAATAATGAATATTTTGAACACTTGCATATGTGAATATTGTCGAGGCATGAAACCTTGTTGTTGATTCTACTCCTTAATCACATTTCAACCAGGACTTCAGTGCAGTTCTGTTACATTACCTGTCCTGCAGGTCATTCAAATCAAAACAAAAGGAAAGGTTAATACTCCCTGCATTGCATCAAGTGCTTCCCAGTTTTCTCAGAATCAACAAACCAGGCTTGAAGGCCTCTTGTCCTGCATCGCCATAGAAACCAGTTGTTGGTTTTGTTTGCATAAGAAGTCACTGAGTAGTGGAGGAGAGGAGGGGGAGAGCAGCTTTCTCACCTCACCCGCTGAGAGAAAGAGCAGTAGTGGTCTGGCTGCAGAGTGAACAATTACCTTAAACAAGCAAGAGTAGAACAACTTGTAAAACATTCTTTGCCACAATTGCAGACTTCAGGTTAGACATACTGTAAATCAAGCACTGGGGCAGAAGTGGTTAGGAAAATATTTTTGTATCTGTTGTTGTGTGACAGGTGAATAGTAAACTAGTGACGTGTTGTTTATTTGAACGAATTGTTGGTTCAGGGTGGCTTGGAAAGTTGAAGTCAAAGTTCCTTTTGGACTGTGGAAAGGAAAACGGTTAAAAGACAGTCTCACTATTAGGTCAATTAAGTTACTGTTCTGGCACTTTACCTCAGATAACATGACCTTCATCAGTAAACAAGGTGTGGCTGATCATGTGTTTGAAAGCATGTAAACATTATGATGGGTCTTGGTGTAAGATTGCTCTCAGACAGCAATTTATTCAGGGAATGTACAACCAGTTCAGATCCTCCACCCATTGAAATGGATATTATTCTATTGGATGTTGTTTTTCTAGGAGTCAGATACAAAATATAAATGCAATATGTTTTGGAAGTATCACTTCATTCATTGATATGATATATAACTAGTCCTGATAGATCAATAATCAGAAGGCTATTTATTGTAATTTTGAGTTAGGCATTTTGTTGTCACGCTCAGAAAAAAAAATGTAATACAAATATTTTGAAGACTATTGATTTATAAGTGCATTTAGAGTAGAAATCCACCATTACAATATTTGTTTTGTGTTTGCAACATGATTGGGTTGTGTTAAACAACCTTTTGAGCAAATAATCCATTGCTAGTAAGAGCCTGGATTTGAAATCATTAAGTAAAAGTACAAAAGGCTAAAGCAAAATGTACTCTTGTGCAGAATATGTAAGAATCAATTATCAACACTCTTAGGTTAAATACAAATCCCCCTACCAGCACCAATGTGGCTCACTAATTAACATGTTATATCTGTATTAAAGGAAAATGTGTGGTGTAATTTAGTTTAAACACTTGAAACAGCTAGCCTCGCCCTGTTTAATTCCAAAAGCTTGTGACATAAAACTCCCGGTTAAACCTTATTTTAACCTTTTGGACAGAGATGGACTAGCTGTTTCCCCCTGCTTCCAGTAAATGCTAAGCAACATGTTTAGTGTACAAACATATTGATAGTGGTATCACTATTCTGAAAATAATTTAAAGCATATTTTCCAAAATGTCTCCCAAATCCCATCACACCCTAACTCTATACTTAATGGCTGTCGAGATGTCACAAGAAGTAGGATTATTATCTCTAAATTCACCAGCTCACACCCTGAGCAATAAGCTGTGACTGTGTCTTATGTGCAGTGATCCCAGTGCTATGTGTTCACAGTCATATTTTCCCATTCTGTGCCAATTAGGCCAAGCCTTTTTCTTTTTGAGTCAACCACTAACAACTGAAACCCAAACATTAGTCACTGAAATGCACAGAGGGGGTTTCTGTGTTATTTCCCGTCCTTTTTGCTCAGTAGCTCGGTTCTTCTGACCAAGATAAAAGGCAGTGGCAGCTAAACTTGTTCTGCCTGATTTGGAATCACCTTACACTCAGAGACTGTTTCATTTCCTGAAACAAAGGTTTACTTGTGAGAGGTTTTTACCTTAAAAGTTTTCAGCCTTTCCGAGAGGGAAGTATGTCCTCCCCCTTTAGGAAAGTTCATACATGTTTTGCTAAAATAGGTTTCTAAAACATCAATAACTCACACCACGAGTGATGCATGACTGATAGTTGTGCTGCACAGCTTCAATGACACTCTTAGCCAACTTAAAGGAAATTACAGGCAAATGCAGACATCCCTGGTGAAAGAAAACTACATGAAATCTTCCAAATATCGATTGCAAAATCCACATCTCTGCCCCAATGAGTGAAGGTTTTAATCTTGCTTGTACTCTGCTTCCTTTACTTGGCATCTTCACTCTTCAGTGTGAAAATAAAAAGATAAACCAAAAAAAATTCACCATATTTTAGAATTGGCATCTCACCAGTGCATGCTGGGATAGCCTACAGCCCCACATGATCCTCGGTTATCTCCTCACCAATCAATAATCTGGTGTAGTCTCTTTCAGGCCAACAAACCACATTGTTCCCCAGTACTTTCCTCAACATGCCTTCTCATGCCTGCCTGCTTAAAACCATTAACCTATTTACAATGAGGGTGTGGTGCTGTTTTTCATTTGTATTAAATAGGACATGTCTTAGACAGGTACTAAGATTTATGGAACAACAAAGAAAGGCACGCCTATACTAAAGGCTTTGAATATAAAAGACTGAAAAGGAGGAACTGGAAAAAACTACATCTGCTATTATTAGGCTTTGTAAATTAGTCTAGTCTCTTTTATCCAAGAAATACAAGGTTTGGTATGCCACAACCAAACTATATTCAATAGAGATACTCTAGGAGGTATACATATTTCACTGTTGACATGCAGTATGTATCTGTTTTGTTTATTTGTACATTTGAATGTGTAATACTTGTGGACATGCTGCTGTGACAATATAATTTCCCAAACCGGGCTCCACAAAAGTATATCTTATATCTCTTATCAAACCCAAATATCTCAAAAGGAAAAAACTTGTGTTCACTTTGTGTTCTCTGTTTTCTGTCCTCCGCAGTGGTTCTAATAGGAGAATCTGGTGTAGGAAAGAGCAATCTGCTGTCCCGCTTCACCAAAAACGAGTTCAACCATGACAGCCGAACAACCATCGGGGTGGAGTTCAGCACGCGCACCGTCCAGCTCAGCGGCATCACCATCAAGGCCCAGATCTGGGACACGGCCGGGCTGGAGCGATACCGTGCCATCACTTCTGCGTGAGTGTCAAGACCCTCACAGCTCTCATAGATCCATTAGTGTATACATGTTTACTCCTCCACACAAACACACAAACACACACACACACACACACACACACACACACACACACACACACACACACACACACACACACACACACGCACACACACACACACACACACATATGAGTCCGATAGCCCTTTATGTATGATGTAACACGTCTTGTGGTTGTATTATTTTCAGGATACTTCATGTCAGTAAAGTCATTAACATATTTGTGTAATTAACAATGATATCTAGCTGCATTCATGTTTTTTTTAATATTTCATTTTAGAGTTTTCAAAATTACAAAAATGATTAATTCTAAAAATGTAATACAACCACACACAAAAGAAAACAACAAAGTAAATAATTATAATAATGATAATTACATATATTATAAAAGCACACAATTCTTATATTAGCAGCATTAATATGTAGTACACAGTGCCTGTATGCCCCATTTAGGCTGTGTGGCAAACAGGTACTGTAGAGAGACAACATTTAATCTGAAGCTACACCCAGTTAGTTTATGTTAGTTTAGCTTAAAGACTGAAGGGAAACCGCTAGACTCAGTATAGCCACAGTCATCATTGGCAAACTGGTTTTTGCACCACTGCTTAATTCATTATTGGAAACAATAGGCTAATGCAACAGGGAGTAACTAAGCCTAAATGTCTTAATAACGCAACTTTCAGTAACATCGTATAGCCTATGCATTTCCCTTACAGGTTTAGTCATTACTAAATTAGCATACATGTACGTTATGCCAGCAGATGTAATGCTTTGAAAATTGCACTTCTTTACATTACATGTTACTTGTGTTAGACGTTTTTATCCAAAGCGACTTACATACTCAATACTGTGGGCAATCCCCACAGGAGCAATTTGGGGTGAAGTGTCTTGCCCAGGGACACAACGACATGCTGACTGCAGTGGGGTTTGAACCTGTGCTCCTCTGATCCGAACACCATCGCACTAGTCCACTGCGCCACAGCCTGCATTGGTTCCCTCTTTAGAACCAAGCCTACAGATATTCAAAGCAGTTGTGTTTTTTTGGATCAACATTTTCAGTTGCTTTCTTGCTCAATAGTTGTTGTGCAACCTGTATGTCTGCATCCTAAGGTGGTGCTGTTAGTGGCCAATACACACGTAAGAACAGGTATTGAGCTTTAGTTTCCTCATACACTTCCTGAAAAACCGCCTGCACATTCCTGTCTCCTGCACAGACTGTATATATAAAGGTCTTCTGTCAGTTTCCAACAGGCACAATTGTGTCCAAAAATCTAACTGGTTAGGGCAGAGACCTTTATTTAAATACTTGGCCCAGAGCGGGTCTTTGCTCTGTGAGGGTGCTCCAGATTCACTATTTGTTTTAATTAAACTCGAAGGATTAACAGTGTGGAAGCTGGTTTTAAAACAATAGTACCATGTCAATTCTGTTAAGACATGGAAAAATCGGAGGATATGCTACGCTGCCGGATTAGCTCTTTTCTGACAGCTTGGCTTTTTGGAGTAATTATTTGCCGTCTTATTCCAGTGCGCAAATTCTCACTCCCATGGAATTTCCCATTTGTGCTGTAACAAGCAGCTACAACCTATTTAAGCAGAATTCATTATATTGCTGGAAGAAGGGATCAGAAATGTGATTGTAAAGCAAGTATTTGATTGGTTCATGACTTTAGAGCAATCGTCAGTCATTACATATTTTAAGTTGACAGCAGAAGAAACTACTCTTCTTAGTGAAGAAAGAACTATGCTTAAATTTGCCATTATCAATATTTTTGATAGAGCTGAATTTGCTTCAGAAGTTGGTGGAGACCAAAAACAGAGCTGCAATGACTATAAATGTTTGGATTGATTTCATTAGTTGGCCAAAATCCTGACACCAATGATACATTAACACGTGACGCGCCTCGTCCCTCTTACAACCAACCAAACACATTCTCCTAAATCTGCCGCTCTATTTAAGCTGCAAGATCTGCCTGCCTCTGCCTCGCTAATGCTGCTTCTAATAAACATATCAAATGTCTCATGAGGAGTATCTGTAAAGTCGATCTCCTCTGATCAGGTATTACAGAGGAGCTGTTGGAGCCCTGCTGGTCTACGACATCACCAAACACCTCACCTATGAGAGCGTGGAGCGCTGGCTAAAGGAGCTGTACGACCACGCTGACCCCCACATTGTGGTCATGCTGGTGGGCAACAAGACTGACCTGGATTCAGAGAGATCTGTGCCCATCGACGAGGCTAAAGACTATGCCGGTAAAAAGTGTTACCTCTGTGATGAAATTCACTGCATTGTATTTTTATGTTCATTGTTCATAATTAGCTATTGGAAACTAAATGTATGTTGATTCTAGGGAATGTAAATGTGTCTGCTCATCAAACTGTACAAGTTGTCAATGTGACTCAAGTCAAGTTCACATTGGTGACTCTAAATTCCCCTTTTGTTGATTCTTAATTGTAAATAAAGAGAGAAAGAGAAGAGGATCAGTGATGACTCCAAAATCCCCCATTTATTTGAAGATAATATATTAAAAGATCAACAGTGAAATGTTGTGGTTTTGGGACACTAGATAGAAAACGACAATGACTAACTGACACTGCTTATTTGTGCTATCTAGAAAAGAATGGTCTTTTGTATCTGGAGACGTCTGCATTGGAGTCAACTAACGTGGAGGCAGCATTCAACAATGTCCTACAAGGTAATTTTGCTTCAAGTATTTCACTTTTTCCCACTTAAAAGCTGTTACACTCATGTGTGGTTCATGTCCGGATCTGCAGAAGGACAAAGTGAGGCATATTATTCTACCTTGAATGTATTTCCCTCTCTCTCTTGACCCACCTAAGACATGTAAATGAAGAACTGGATGGACAGAATAGGGCTCTCCCTATGAGCTTAAATGTAACCTTAGATGAATACCTACATATTCTCAGCTCAAGTAGGTTGGGAGAAGGTCAAGGTCTAGAAGGGTCAAGATGAAATTACCTTTGGTGGTCCCATGGCAGCCAGATGATCCACTGCCTTAGGTAGAAACAATTTGATGTTGGTAATTGATAACTTTTACCAATCAACTTTTGTAGGATCCTGAAGGTCTGGCTTTTTTTTATAGTATTATCATATGACTATCTTTCCTCTCAAAGCTTAGGAACACTGCAGCATATTTCTATTCTAGCCTAATGTAAATGTATAATACCTATTATTTTTCTGCCACAGAGATTCACAGGAAGGTGAGCAGTAAGGAAGTGGTCCGGGGCTCCATCAGTGCTGTGTCCTTGAACAGCTCCGTAAAAGAAAACACAGAGGACAAGAAGCCCTGCTGCAGGAACATCTGACCACAATGTCCTCCAGGAGCCAAGGGGCCTCAGGGCGGGTGACCTTCAGCCACAAACCTGTACAAAATCTCAGGGAAACGGCATCTGCGGGTGCCTAAATGAATGGTCCTGGCTTAAGAGATGGTGCTTTGAGATGACTGATTTACATGTTTTACAGGCTGTATGATGAATTCAAAAGATGATTGTGAATGACAGTATATGGAGACCAACATCAATCCTTGAAGAGTCTCTGCTGACTATTGAACAAAGTTCAAAAGTAAAACACTTAACCATGTTACCTGCAAGATTATATTTGTATATAATCCATGCACAGAATTGGAGAAACCCAAATACATAATGGTATTTGTAAATGTTAATGACTCATGACTGTTTTATGTTTATTGGTTGGTGACACTATTAGTCTTGGGACGGCGTTATCTCTGTGCCTTTGGTAAAGAATGGTCCAGTGTACTTTCTGCTAAGGTAAATAAGACAGGAAGCGTTGAAGCACCTTTACTTAACATTTAGGAAATTCGACCAGCTCTTATCACTGCTGCCATTTCCAGGTCATTTCAATCCGTCAGGAACCTTCACAAGCAAAAAAAAGGCTTGCTGTCACTGCTGTGTGTGTGCTTGAGCTTATGATTAAGGATGAGAATGTTGAGAAATAAATAATTTATAAAGACAGCTGGACTACTGTGTTTTATTTGTGTCTGATACTAAGAGAAAGGTGTTTTTCCAGAAGACATTTTGATATGTTTAAATAATAAATAATTATGATAAAGCTGAAATCCATTTTGCTTTAGTCATGTATTAAGCATATTGGCTCACTATCACGGTGTAATGAGTTACTGGAAACACTAAAACAGATCAATTGTTAGATTTATAAGTAACGCATGTGCTTTTTTTTACTGTAACAATTAAAGTGTATGTTGTAATTGAGGCCCTTAGAATTCAAGTAATTATTAAATACGTACAATTGACTACATGATTTAATTCAAGTGAAATTGTAGTTTTCAATGCTTGGCCATTGTCATGTTCTAATCCAGGCCCTTTTTAAACAGTTGTACATGAAATGCTTGGCTGCAGCAGAGGTTCATAACCTTAAAGGAACTCCATAATGAGGTATATAAATGCTGTAGACTCCAACATATTAAAATGCAAAGATGTTCAAATAAAAAATGAATTAAGACGCACAGTAGCATCTGCGTTTGACAGACTGGGTCAGGGGTAAGTAACCTTTTCAAGCTTGATATTTATATTTCCTCTGACTGTGCTGCGATAATTAACTGGCCCAATTAATGTTGATAAACTCTGCCAGAATGTTGATGCATGTATTTAATGAGTGCAAAAACCTCTTTATAGGGCTCAGGAGATAATGGTTTAAATGTGTTTCCTTTCTGCTGCAAATGTTACAGTTAAACCATTTTTATAGGAATGAGTGGATTCATCTGATAAGAGACACAGGGAACAGGAGTTGAACCAATATGATGAGGTCTTTTATCAAAGTAGGATCACTGTGTTATCCATATCTGATATGATGAATACAAATATTCCTCCCTCAGCACAACAACATTAAAAAAGTGTGTACAACTTGCTGTGAAATTCTATTTTATTGATACGTTTACACAGTGACTCATTAAATGCTGCAAGCCTTTGCAGAGAGGTTCTCAATCTACCAAATAGAAAATGTGGGAAATACTGGAAACTGTCCAACAATGTACCATTTTTGGGTATCTATTTAATATTATTCACTTTAATTCAAAAAGCTATTTCATGCATATATAGTTAATGAATCTGCATCTTACATTCAAATATAAACAAACACAATACTCAAACGTTTAGTGTATATTGGCTAATAATGTTTACAGGCACGTCAGTATAAAATAATAGCATTTGAATCATCCTTACTAATAGTCCAAAACCCGCAGACAATCTGTCAAGTAGACTTTAACAAAGAAAAACATAAAATCCTCACAATTGAAAAGGTGGAACCAGGAAATAGTTTGCATGTACTGTAATTGACATGCTTACAGATTAGTGCTTCAAATGTATTTTTCTTAATTTGTAGGCATATTTACACTGCCAACTTCACACCTCTCTAGCAAATACAGATGAAAACTAGGCTAATAATGGATGCTTCAGACACATATTGGAATGGCCTGCATTAAAATACACAGTCAATAGGATATACATGGGGTTGGGGCTAAAGAAAACACAGTTAACAATGTTTTACAGCTGGGATCTCTGAACCCCGAAGCAGTAATGCATAGACCAATCTAACAAAGCATGTACACCATCATGTAATCAGTTAAAACACATATTTATTAGCAATTAATTTCCATTTACAAAACAGGCAATGCGTTAAATCCACATTGCATCTGTACTTACAGACTGCAGTGACACGTGTTACAAAGAGATATTTGTGATACCACTGTTTGCCAGATGGGCTTTGCTGCTGTTGCTGCTGCTAATTAACCTGAAGCTTGATATTACCTGTTGAGGGTTGGGGCCGCATACGTCATCCTTGTAAACGAACAGCAGCCAAATGACGACCGACAGCACGAAGAACCAATCACAAAGAAGTTAGTGACAGGTGTCGATCAGCTATTGACCATTAGGAGCGAGCCAGGGGCGGGACTAAGAAACTGACGTTACGTCGCAGCCTCGGTAATGGCAAGTGACACAGGGTGAGGAAGACGAGTAGAAACTTTTTCAGGTACTAGTTGCTGTTGGTTGTTTGTATGCTTGATAACAACAATAGTGTTACGTTCTTGTACTTATACAGTTTTTTAACGGTTGTGTCGTCTGAGTGAGAGTTAACCGTCTTCCGTGTGAGGCTAACAAACGTTAGAGCCGTGACGGTGGTCTGTCGGTGACGGAGCTGAGATACACCAGAAGTTTGTTCGACTTCGAGTTAAATACGTAGAGACGCCGAAAGAAAAGAAGCTATGACAAACAGAGAAGACGAATACGACTATCTTTTTAAAGGTGAGTAGCTGTTTTATTTAAAGCTAAGTTAGCTACACTTCGACATCAAGCATTCACCTGTGAGCTACTGTCATTTGATGCCGAGTAGTTGGATGTGTTTTAACCTATGGTTTTAACCCGCATGCCTAACAACAAGGTGTAATACGACATAAGACCGAGACACAAAGGCACCTGCTGTTAGCTTTTCCTTTGGCTGAAGACATACATTACGATCGTCGTTGAACCATAGTATTACAACATAAAGGCAGTTTATAAGTACGCTTATTTATTAAGCAGCATCTGCAGTAGGGTCGTCATCTTGCAGGCCGATGATGCAATCATGTTAGGATGCGCTCATGGTCAACAAGGGGGTCGTACTCTGTGGCAGGAGTCAGGACAGACGAATCAAAGCACCCTCCATCACGACTTTCTTATTGATTGATTGAATGCTGTTTGGTCCATTAGTGTGAGGCCTGAGGACTTCAAGTTATACTTGTTATTATAATCTACATTCAGGTTTTGTCACTTGGACAAACCGTCCTCTTTTTGTCAACATCTGCTACCTGCTCCAATTGTTGCACCACCTTAAATATTTAAATATTAAGATTGACAGATATGTTTCATGCGTTTTCTAAGTAACATTTAGAAAAATACACTTTACAATGGAAACACAAGGTACAACTAACCAACCACAATTTGCTTGCTTGGTCTAAACTCTAATACTTGTATCAATGTGCTCTAACAAACATTTACAGTCTCTTTTATAGATATCGGGAAGTTCTAGGTGACTAGATATCTTTTAACAATCTTGATATTATGCAGAACCATTCTTCTATAAAGTGTCATATTGTGTAAATGATACTGTAACTGTATACAGTGGGTGGTGGGGGGGGTCATTGTTCCCACATTGATGATATCTAGTACAAACAGTTCATAGATGTACCTTGTCACAAGCAAAGGGGAAATGAAGTGCTCTTGTTTTGTTCAAATATAGAACACCAAACAAGCATGTCAAACTGGAATTACCTGCATGAAGTGTGTGTGTGTGTGTGTGTGTCGCCACAGAGAAGCTCTGTCCCTGAGCATAGCGAAGATGAGATTTACTCACTCCCTCTCAGATCAAATAACATTACTTCCGGTGACCAAATGTATCTCAATCATGTGCTGCAGTGCAAGGGCACGATAAGGTATTGGCCGCCCTTCAGGCTAATGCTTAAACCAGGAAAGTGCTAACGTTATTGTGAAGTCTCTCCTTTGTTCCTACAACCAATCTGTTGTCGCTCGCTGTTAGATAGCATGAGTCAAGTTGGGTGAGCTGTTGGTGAGTCACATACACCTTTCCCTGCTGATGGAGACATCAGCGCAGGCACGCATCCCTCTGTCCTGCTGAGGCATTCCTCTTGTCTTTGTTCTGCTCTTGTTCATTTCAGTGACGTGTGTGAGCCTGGATAGTGGCTAAATGTCTGGTTTTGTCAATCCAGATATATCCTGTTAAACATGGTATAAAACAGGAAGTCTCGATACCTGGGGGTCTAAATACGTTTTCTCTTTATTTCTGCATTAAATGATTGTGTCCTTACTTCTCCCTAATTATTATTTAGTTTAAAACCAAATATGTCTACCCAACTCAAGCCATCTGCTCTTTTACATAGATATACATAATACATTTTAAATGAATTTTAAATGCGGTAAAATTGGAACTTAGAAAATCCTACTTTCATGGATAGTATAGTATTTTAGGATTGCACGCACCATCCTGCATTATACACTGCTTTTCTTCAGAATGCATTGAAACATGAAATTGGACCTTAAATGGTTATCTTTGATTCCATCTACAGGGATTCGGGAGATATCTATATTAATCCAACTGAACAGACAGAAAGACTACGATTCCCAGAACAACTTTGTCCGTTCTTCAACCCTTCCTTCAGACAGTTGTAGGTTAGGCCACATCACTGGGTGCAGTGTTGTACAGAGATGTCATATCTCTTCAGCTGAAGAATTCACACCCAACAATTAGGAGTGAATGGGTGTGAAAGGTAGCCATGATATTACCCGTCTGATGGCAAATTACCTAGAAATGGTTGCATAATGATTTTGGTCCACCGCCCCAAATCTTTTGTCCCTGATGAAATGGAGAATGGCAGTGTTGCCTCTTCAGTCTTATAGGAGAGCCACACTTTTAGTACAGCTTACACATATTTACTGATACAGACTGATTATCTCAAAGACTAAATACGCCAGCCCTTAATGTGAACAGGTTTCTACTTGTGCCTGTTACACCATAGTACCACAGTCAACCTTTAACACATACTTTCCTTTAAGAATAAGAAGTGTTGCTTAAACTCAAGTGTAGACACAGTGGTCGGTTTGTTAATGCAGTTACAACATTCCATAACAAGTTCCTATTTCATAATGGCAGGGTGGTGAGAGGTTCCTTTTGACACACTGACTCACCGGACAGTTGCAGAAGTCATTATCTGACAAACACTCACCCTAATAATGCTCGTTTAATTAGGCCTACATTTGAGGTGGGGATCCAATAGATGAGTCCACACCATTTCAAGAATACTCCCGTGTACATTGAGTCATTGACCTCTTTCACCCCATGTCAGTAATCACTGCTTTTTAAGTGTAGTCATCCTGAGGGAATTTAGAAGCAGTTTATTGATTCGTATGCTTAGGGGGAATTACAAAAAGGTGGCTGTATTAACTTAGGCAATTTAGCTTTGTGGGTGGGAGTAGGTTTAGTACAAACATTTAGATTCTTTTTATTATAAACAAACTCTAAAACAGCAGGACCACCTTACTTCTACATATATATTGATGTGTTGTGTAGGTCAAATACGTTTGAGTTATATCAAGTGGTCTAATAAATCATTTTGAACGCGATTCCAGTCAAATACTGTCATATCTGAATCACGTCGGATTGGTCGAATCGGCAGCGAATCACCGTTTTCACCTTTCCTCATTCTGAGGGTACTTCCTGAAAAGAGCAGGTGGTTTATTTTAAATACTCAGTGGGAGTCCCCTGAGTTTCTGCTCCACACGCATGCGTCACTGACGAGAGAGGCGATTTAATCACAAGGAGAATTTAATTTAAACAAGTCAACCCACATTGTAGCTTCTCTTTGTTTGAATGAGCCGTTACCTCAAAGGTCTACCACGAAGTTGCTGTTTCAGCTTTAACCATGAAGTATTGTTTTGTACCAATCAGTCCAAAGAGTTTTCCCATTAAACAACTTGTGTTAGCAGGTGGAGTCCACAGTGCACCGTGTGCTGATGACGATTGTTCCTCTTTCTCTGTCCAAAACCCATTCCCCCTGTAGTGGTGCTGATCGGAGATTCAGGTGTAGGGAAGAGTAACCTGCTGTCCCGATTCACCCGCAATGAGTTCAGCCTTGAGAGCAAGAGCACCATCGGGGTGGAGTTTGCCACGCGCAGCATCCAGGTAGAAGGCAAGACCATCAAGGCTCAGATCTGGGACACGGCTGGACAGGAGCGGTACCGAGCGATCACTTCTGCGTGAGTACATTACGTCGTTAAACCCTTACTTTGTTGAAGCACCATTACACACAAAAGACGTCCACATATGACCTAAGATTTCCATCGTCATAACTACACTGTAGCTATGCACGTATAAAAGCCTTGAAATACCCACTTCACACAAGTACGTGCTCACTTGAAGAAAATAATGGCACTTTTTATAGATTGAATCTCGCAGACAAACACAGCTCTTTAAGCACCGGATACAAGAAGCATGTTCTTGTTGTGCATGCATGTGAAGCACAGGAACTTTAAGTACCTCTTGCTTCCTCACGCATGCGCATTGTGCTCTTGTTTCCGGTCAAGTGTTATTCACAGTCACGTGTGGCTGCATTATGAATGGCTGGGGTTGTAGGTTAAGGGTTACACACTTCCACTCAAGAGTCATCCTCCATCTATGAAATGAGTTTAGAATCAACGCTCATGAAATAGTAAGAAAGAGATGAAGTGATTAACTCTGCAATAATAGCAGCGTTTTGCTTTGAAACAGGAAGTGTTTGGTTAATCACAGCTTCCTCATATCAATCTAGTTCCCGTCCCAAAATGTGTCACTTTTCTAAGTTGTCTATGCTAATGTGCTAACCAGCCTACCGTATTAAACACCCACAGTCGTTGAGGAAGCAGACAAGCAAGCTCCACCAGTCTTAATGAAGTCATGTCAGACAATGTTCACTTTGCGATGTTGTCTGCAGTGTTTTTAGCCGTACTGTTGCTAAGCGCATGTTACACACCGGCAAAGGTTCCTGAAATCTACAGGCTGGGACAAGAAGACCTTTTCTTTTCCAGTTGATATGAAGTTGAACTCCTCTTGCATTGTCCAGGTACTACCGTGGAGCAGTTGGAGCTCTCTTGGTTTATGACATTGCCAAGCACCTGACGTATGAAAATGCTGAGCGTTGGCTGAAGGAGCTGCAGGACCATGCAGACAGCAACATAGTCATCATGCTGGTGGGCAACAAAAGTGATCTCCGCCACCTCAGGGCGGTGCCAACCGAGGAGGCCAAGGCCCTGGCAGGTATTGTCTGTGTGTTCGTGTGTTCGTGTGTTCGTGTGTTGTTCCTATGAAGTTTGAGGACTCTGCCTCAATAGATCATTGTCAGGTTAGAGCTGTGGTAATGATCATAGGTGGACTAACCCCAAGCTGCCTTAATTAGGTGCTTTAAAGGGACAGTACACCTAAAATACAAAAAAGCATATCTTTCCTCTTACCTGTAGTGCTTTTGTATCAAGTGTTGGCAATATATGCTGGAGAAATTTCTGCTTTCTCTTGAATGTAGGGGCATGTAATCATGGACGAGAGGCTAACCTGAGCTAGCTGTTAGTGCTCAACCGAGGAGGACAGCGTTAATGTTTACTACCTCTAGCACAAGCCTCTCGTGCATGATAAGATGCAACTCCCTCTGCTTGCCGAAATGTCCCTTTTTTAGGTGCGTGTGGTGATCAGTAAATGAGTGCTTATACATACGCTTCCGTTTGGGTTGTACTGTTTTTATAATACAGTCTAGTGTGATCATTCCCAGATGTAACACTCAAGTTAGAAATGTTTGCACTGTGACGATGTTATGCTTCTTTAGAAATATGCCTACAAAATGTCCTTGGCTGGAATGTTGAAGAAAGCAAAACATGAGGTCAAACTACTTAATTCAAATTCATTAAAATGTCTATTTATCCTGGCCCTTTGAGAATTGCAGGGCCTTGTTTTTCAAACCCAGTTTATTTGTTACAGCCAGGCTCGCAGTGTCATTGGGGAAACCTTTTTGACCCTGACACTCTATTATTTTAGAGAATTTGGGCCACGTGTTTACTCTTGACCTTGAGTCTGTGTCTGATTCACTGTTGCACCTAATTTGACTGGTAAGTGGCTCTTGCAAGGACTGCCTGTAAGAATGTCAAATACATGAGCCCCTGTTGATCCCGTGTAGAGGAAAGGAATTCATTGTCATTGTTGGATAAATGAATATATGTACTCGTCAGTGCCTTCAGTTTGAGCTGATTTCTTTGTCCGTACCACTAATGGACTCACTGATGGCTAATTTACATATAGACGATGTGGTAGACACGTCATGCAAAGGGTTTTGTAATCCAGTTTCAATAATTAGTTCATGTTAATTAGCAAACTGTTTTTGACTTTGATTTGCTTTAAAAAGGTGTTTATGTGATCGCAATGTAAACCATTCTATTATATACTCCTTCTCTTTGTGTTTTACATCATTGCATTTCCTGTAAGTATGCTTTACACAGCAGACCAGTCAGTTGTCACACAAACCATTCGATTTTTTTATAATTACAAAACAGTTTTATATTTTGCAATCAAACGGGAGCAGTTGAAATGAGTGCATTTCTAGGCAGAACCCTGGAGCGAGCAGATTATGCAGCAGAAATCAATCCTTGAATCAGTGCCGAGTGAATGCCAGTAACACCTCAACTCAGTGGTAGATTTGAAAGTTAAAAATAATGCAGACTCACAACACTGTGTGCATGTTTGTTTTCCAGAGAAGCACGGCTTGTCCTTCCTGGAGACGTCAGCGTTAGACTCATCTAATGTGGAGCTGGCTTTCCAGACAATTCTCACAGGTGAGTTTTATGTTTAATTCTTGCTCATTTTTAGTGTTTACATGAAATGTTAAGAGTTTTTTTCTTGATCCTGAAGCCTGAAGGGCACTGCTGTCTGAAGTTCCTCAGAACATCTAATGATGCCCTGCATATACTGGTCATTGTCTGAAAGAGATTCATTTCAATCCAGACTGCGATGCTTTACGTAACAACACCAACCCTCTGCCACTAGATGGCAGCAAAACCCATCTTATCAGTTGTCTGTGCTCCTCACTGATGTGCAGCAGTCTGTGGCGAGAACACCACTTTCATCTTTTCTGAGGTGTATAAGTCATTTGAAACAAAGAAAGACAACTTAGCCGATCAGCCTGGTGAGAGCTGCTATGTAGTTATTCAATTGTCAGCAACGAGTAGTGTTTTTTGTTTGTGGTCACAAATCCACTTTAACCTACTCCACCAAATGGATCTTTTCAAAAATGACATTCCTATGCTGGTCCATAGATACGTTTCTCAAGTCAATGTCTTTGAGCAGTGTCCTCAGGAGGGATAAAGCCACGCTAATAAGTGCATTTGATGTTGGAGATTTGGTGGCATGGAGGAAAAAGCAATTGTAGCGACAACCCCTGGAGTGCCTAAAGGGGCAACCCAACAGTGAGTGGTGCTTCCTCTTCAGTTGCTCCAGGGGCTATCAGTCTGCAAGTTTGCGCCGCTTTGTATGTTTGTATTCTCTTTCTGACACATGCTCAATTCCCAGACACCTCCGCTCGAGCCGTTTGAAACATTCTGCCCACAACTTTGTCACTCATTTCGAATTCATAAAAACTTCAACCCATTAATCCTCATTGAGCTAATGTAGCTAATTAGCTCATTAGGGATAGACAAGAGGAAGTTAGCAGTGCAGCATTAAAAGCTGAACTTAAGGCCCAGTGGGGCAGGGAAGATGTCTCGTGTGTAGATATCAGCAGCCGACACATCGTGGATCAGAGGGGGTCTTCCTGCTGGATTATATAGGTGCAGCAGCTGGGGCTGTGTGGGGCCCGTAGTAATGACTCATAGTTTAACCACCTGACGTGTCACATCACAGTCAGCCAGAAGTCTTATTTTGCTTTAAACCTTCTCGCCGCACAAGCAGTTTTTATTTCAAGACAGTTTTGTTCCACATCTGGCTGTACTTTGGAGTTAAAGCGGCAGTATGCAACAGGAAGCGAGACGGCTGTTGGCACCCGTCCATTTCTCCTCTCTCAGGTTGATCAACTGACCACCCAAATGGCATCTCGGCCAAAGTTCAGGGAAATTAACAACATAAAGGCTGTTGCTAGTTAAAAAGTGAAATCAAACTTAAGTTCACTTTTGCATTTAAACATTTAAAGGTGGGGTAGGTCATTTTGGAGAAACCAGCTCGAGTGAGCTAGAATTTGAAAATACACAGCCGGAACAAATCTGCCACTTCCTTCCAGAGCCCCTCCTCCAACACACACACGAACACGCACATGACCAATGAGGGCACGAGATAAGTTTGTGCCCCGATGGAAGGCTGACAGGCAGGTAGGCCATCCAGTTACTTTAGCCGGGCCGGCTCAGATGATTGGTCGTGCTACGGCTTCCACAGAAGCACTTAAGATATTCATTGCTATCGGGATGTTAAGAGCATTCCATGGAATATAACAAAAAGTGTATCTCGAGCCGGTTTCTCAAACTTACCTACCCCACCTTTAACCTTATTGTTTTTTTTGTACAAGCATGAGCATGCAGGGACACAGGAGCAGACCCCACAGCATACAATCTTTATTTAAGCATGCAATTTTGATTTAAACTGTATTGCAGATCGCAGCATTGGGCAATGCCTGAAATTAGGCTTTTTTTTCCTGCCACATGACATAACGATGCCAGTTTAGGGTGGAAAGAATCCTCCACTGCTGCCAGGAGTCTGGATAGAACAGTTGTTGCGCCGTTTTGCCATGCTGTTTGCCTTTATCACAATATGTCCCTCTGTTGGCTGGATTTACAGCCATGTACACATGACTCATTCTCTTGCACTCTTCTCTCCATCACAGCCATCTACAACATCGTGTCACAAAGGCAGATGTCAGGGCGAACCGACTCAGACTTCTCACCGGCCTCCAACGTAGTGCCCATCACGGTCGAGCCCACCCAAAACTCTTCCAGTAAGGGCGTCTGCTGCCAGAGCAACTGAGACCCTACCACTGACCTCCTCCTTCACCTCCAGGCAATGAGACATGACATAGACAGACAGACGGACAGGGAGAGACAGGTAGTGATTTACAAGGACACTTGTACTGGGTTTGTCTATTGTCTGATTAAGAATAAAGAATAAGAGGGGGACCAGTGATGAAGGGATAGTAAAGAGGTTTAGACAAGGGGTGTGGTGTGGGAGGAAACGAGTGGGAGGCCTTGTACCCAGTGCATTAAGCTTTTGAAAGAGGTACATGATCAGAACCGAATCACTATAAAATGAAAAATGTAACACATTACGAGATCCTTTTTGTGTCTTTGAAAGCTCTATTTACAAGCCAGTAAACGCTTTCTCTCAGTTTTCCACAAGCAGGATATAGGGCAATAAAAATCCACATCAAAAAGACTGAACTGCAACCCCTGTCGCCACAGTCATTCCCATTTTCCTAAATGTTTAATACTTAGAAATGAACGTCATCTACCATATTTATTGAACACTATATTACGGTCTTGGTTGGGTTTTCAATGTAACACTATTTGGTTTAGATTTTCCATTCTGATCACTTTGCAGCAACGGAAACTGTCTTGCTTTTTTTCTGCTATATCATATCTTTGTGTGAAGAAGGGCGACTACTCCTCGTCAAATAGAGGAGCAAATGCTTAAAGGCATTTTTTACTGAATGCACACACTGGAATTTGGTCAAAGTTGGTTGCTTCAATGTGTGTTTCACCAGGCCAATAACATCCCTTCCTACCAGTGACATGTCATTTATTTTTGATTGCTTTTGATCTTGCTTTGGAAGGCTTTCCTGCTCTGCGCACATGTTGTACTCTACAGATGAGTCATGCTCTTGCAGCCTTCCCATCACACTGAGAGTTAACGCTGTGCAAAGCCTGCATCACTGGTGAACGGGTTAACTGGCTCGTTGTTGGCTCTTCCTTTGACTTTATCAGCCCTGTCTGAACCTTTGGGTGTAGTGGGAGAGGTTATGAAAAATGGTTTGAACGCGTGGGCAACCCTTTGGTGCTTCTGCTTGCTTAGATAGCTGGATGGAGGGATAATATTTCAGGAGATGAGGTAGTGAGGGCACTCAGCCCTCCCCTGCTCCTGTGGTCTCTGATGTACCCGACATGGCTTGTTTTACTGTAAGTGAAATCCTCCACTGCCTGCTACCTACTCCTCTGTATCTCTCTACACTGCATGTAACTGGAACAGGACCCTGCCCTCCGGGATCTCCCTGAGGTCTGCCCTCACTCGCTTTCTGTATTTCCTGTGGAGGGGCGGGGGATGTATTCGGGAGCCAAGATTGGCTTTATTAGTTTCTAATAGTTTAATAGATGAGAGGAAGGATGGTAGTGTTAGGAGGGGCTTAATTAAATCCAAAGGTTATGTGTTTCCACAACACACTTCTGTTGACTTCACAGGTCTTAAACTGGGTGGTGTAGGTTAGGGCTTTTTAAACATTTATTCTAATATGTATATTTGGACTGCATATGTATAAATAAATCTAATTTGTTATAGCCTGCCTCTTCTCATGTCTCTTTAAGATGTTTGTAAATGGTAAAGGCTGCAAGTAGCTGACATTGTTATGAATGAATCTGCTAGAGAGCAGACTTAATGTGTCTTTTATATAATAATGAATGCCCACTGTAAATGAATAGATCTTTGCTTTAAAATGATAGTTCCTCTGACCATCAGGATGGAAATATAAATATATCATCGTGAAAAGAACAATTTAGACAATCAAATGCCCTCTTTAAACAAAGAAATACAATTGATATCAATTGGAGATCATTTCATTTTTGTTTTATTAGAAACATTTACAATACATCTTGAATCTTGGAAAAATAACAAAGAACCAGAACTAACATGGCGCAGATACAATAATAATAATAAAAATGTTTCCAAAAAATGTAATTCACAAAAAAACATGTGCTATAACAAATAAACCTGCAATATCACATGCCGTGTAACGACATGGCATACTGTAACAGAGTTCAAAGACTTCTTTTTTTTTTCCACCCATCAAAGTTGACGGTCAGCCGCTGAGGGCCACATTATCAAACCCTCTTTCACTGTTCACAGAGAAACCAGAAACTAGCGCCAGCTGATGCTGGCCCAAAAGCTAATGCACTACGACCACTATTAGACCGGTATGAAACACTTCTACTGTGCTGGAAAATGTGGAAACGCTACCAAAGACAAACTGTCAGACTGTATCGGCCTCTTTGGAAAAAGTTGCAAGTTTCACCAGCAAGCGCCACTTCAGTCCCCATCCTTTACATGCAGCAGAAAATGTGCTATTGTAGTGTTTTTGTCAAGTTTTTTTAGGTGTATCTACACAAACTGGGAACTTCAAGTTAATTCAGATGAGGTGCGGACATTCTTTCATCACTCACAGGTTACTGAGAGTACAACATCCAGCTTCCATGTGGGGACTGAAATAGTCTCTTTGCCTGGTTTCAAACTTGTGTCAACTTTCCTGTTTCCAAAGAGACTCCAACTATGAAAATCTACAGTGGAGAAACAGCCCAAGTGCACTGACGTTAAAAGATAACGCAGGACTTGCACCATTTCTCCTTTCTAAGTGACCATACAACATACATGCAAGCTAGTACGGTAATGAACATGTTATGTGTGTTTGTGTGTATTCGTGTGCATCTAGATATGTAGATCTACTACACAGTGCGCTGTTCTCTCGTGGATGTCTCTGCTCCATTTGCACATTTCACCTAAAAAACACATTAGGGAAAGTCTCATCAAAGCTCTGTCCCCACCAATCACAGAACTGAGTAGTAGATGTAGAAAATGTTCGAATGAAAGTGTACAAATTGTGTGTGGCCCATTGGCATAGGGTCACATCTGCCTCATTCATTCCAAGCATTGCAGTCGTAACATGTTCTAAACATTTGATAAGTAAAAGCGAGTTTAGATTACAGAGGAAATGAGTTATGCGTTTCAGTCAGTAACATGGGGTTAGTCGAAGGGGAGAGGGGGTAATAGCAAGCAGCACTGCACAAAGAATGCTGATGCAGGAAAAATATATAATTGAGGCACAAAATTGATGCTCTGTGACTAAAATATCTCCAAATTCTAAAAAATATTATATTATTTTCTGTAATTATTCCATTGTTAATGCACCGATGTTAGAGTAGTGCACGTCTGAAGTTACAATTTCAGCTATGGGAAACTCTCGTTCCATTCACTTCATTAGCAGGAAGTATGTGGAAAAGGCGAGCCTCCATAACTTTCATAAATAAAACTTCTAAACTTCTTTTCTCATTTGACTTACTTGGTAGAAACTGACCTCCCTGTGTTTAGAAATATATTAACTTCTCGTCATTCTTAATTAAAAAACAAAATGTCTTGAGGTTACTCATAAATATGTTGCTTCATTTTTGTACTTTTCATAAATAACATCCAGATACTGACTTCTTTTCCTCTGCTTTCTACCAAATAATAACCCATGTTAGCAAAATAGATTTGAGAAACTGTCATATGTTTTTTTTTTATTCATTTTAAGTTACTTTCTATAAATGTATGTGGAAGAACTCAAATATAGTCTACGTTGAAAATCGCAAATTCTTTCCATAAAACAAACCAAAACGTAAAGCTCACTTGGAAACGTATAAAACGATAAGCGTACGGAGTGCATTGAGTGGTCTTTTTATTATTTTTTTACATTCAAATGCATTACTTGCTCAATGTGATTTAGACAGGTTGGTACAATTGCTTAAGTGCATCCATTGAAAATAAGGATTTCCTATCACTCCTTAAAAGGGATTCTACATAAATGCATAAAGACCTTTTCATATCAAGAGAAGAAAAACATCAACATTTTCTACCATTACTATAATAGTAAGCTTAATACAATATTGTAAATAATACTAACAAGAACTTAACAAATCAAATGTCACTGAGTCACCCACCCCTTTGTTGCTCCACTGAATTAAAAAAGTATTTCATACTGGGTGAGTTAGACAAATGAAACTTACACCTTAGCATATTCTTAAACTTTATGTATCAATTAGTTAGACTACATGGTAAATATATGATTTGAAACCGATGTTTACTTTAAGGTCTTAAAGCTGTGTATACACTCCAGGTATCAGGCTGATGAATTATTTATGTGATCTTAACTTTGTTTCTGATAAATCTTACCTATTTTACTAACATGCAGTTAAACTTAAGGATACAGTTAAAGGGCTCTCCAAACGATATTTAATTTTGTTCACTCTCTCACCGTCGCCTTACTAAAGGTCTTAACAATTAGGAATCCTGCCTGAATTCTCAATGGCTTGTCATTGTCAAAACAATTCCATTTTAAATATTAAATGATGTCCCGTTTGATCTGAAATTCACCAGATCAGGCACGTTTTCCAGAAAGATGAAGACATTCCCATGACTGTGCTTCTCCCACTGATCTAACCATGACAATGGAAAACTACTCACAGGACTTTTAAGTGCCAGGATGTGCTTTAAGCTGATCTCTTTGGGGAGAAGTGAGTCTGTTACGGGCGCCTCTGTAGTATTAAACTAATCTTACAACACTGAAACATGATATGCCTTCATTTCACTGATATCGATTTAGTTGGCCTCTAAGACGTTTGGGTAAACAGAGTTATTCTAGCTATGAGATTATTTCTTAATAATCCTGATTTGATAAAGTTTCTAAAATAAGTTAACAACTTGTCCTCTCCTTGTGTTTTGTTCTTTGGCTATGTCTGACCTTTTTATAAAAGAAAAAAATACAAATGAAAGGTGCAAAACTAGTATAAAATAGAGCCATAAAAAAGAAACTCCTATGTAAACAGAAATCATTTTAAGATTGCTATAAGTAACACGTCTGCCCCTGTATGTGACTTTAGATAATGAGGGTAAAGAATACAAGCTCTTCACATGGACAACACACCGTGATATCATGTTGTCTCACCCTCTCCTCACGGCTGCATTTTGACCAAAGCCTTCGAGACATCAGTCTGTCATACGCAAAGTCACCAGCTCCTGCTTTTTTGAAAACAAGACAGACGCTGGTGCTCATGCTCTGGTCGTTTGAAAGATCACTTTTACAGCGCAGTGAGATTTCCTCAAAGTCACAGAAATGTCAGTTTCATCATCTCAGAAGGAGCAATCCTTAAGTTTGTCTCACCTGCCCTTTGTTTTAATTAACAATCAAATGACTTAAGACCCTGATAAACACAAAAAGAACAATTACTTATACTGAAACTTTTACTAATTATTAATAAGATCTCTGTTTCTACGCTGGCATTTATCCATGACGAATTGTAAGCAGATATTATACAGAAACGTTATTCCCTAATAATCAAGGTCAATTTCTGGATAGAATATTATTTAAAGAACTGAGTAAGCAGGCTCTTCAGTTTATTGTCCCAGTATAGTCCTATTATTGCATTTCATCCTAATATACATAGAAGCGGATTTATTCATCAGGGGTTATTACACATACTATTTATTCCAGTTTTCATTTGAGATTTGATTTATACATCAGCGGCTTTATAAAGGATATTCGTTATTACAGTTTATAGGAGTGTCTGGTTAATTTCCATCTATATATTTGGATGAAACACTTAAGTTAATCAGTTTAAATAATATTTCTTAAATGTATGGATCTATCTAATATACTATTATAGTCAAAAAGGATGATGGGACGCATATATAAAAGATTTGCCCTCCCTAAAATCAGAGACATATTGGAATTCTTTATGCTGAAACATTGACAATGACACCCTCTGCTTGTAAAAATAATCCAAACCTCACTTTTAGCAGGCCTTTGTCTGGATGTTCATAACTGGTACACATGATGTATTTACATAGAGTGCTTTCCCATAAAATACAATACTTATTAACTTATACAGCGTCTAAACAGGGAGAATCTCCAATAAGCCCTCTCTTCACTAAACCAGTGCAAAACTCAACCAAGTCATCAGCATTGACTAAATGGTTGAGAGCTCTCCCAAAGAGCCACTAGTACTACTGTAGTATTAAGAATAACAAGAACCACCATAATACAAAAAATGATAGGGAATCCTTATGTGCATGTCTTTCAAATCCTATGAAATGTATTTCACCATCAGTGGTCGGTTTGGTATTATTCAATGTTTTTGTGATCAGGTGCTTTACTCTATATTTTAAGTAAAGTGTTAAAGAGCCTAATTTCCTGAATCCCTCTAATCCCCACCCGAGCAGTTTCACATTCTTTTCTCTAAAAATAATTACTTTAAAAGTTGTTTTAGGGGAAGATACTATCAAAGGCCAAAGTTGCTACCTTGTATGCCAAAGCAATGGCAATCTTTTAATAAAAAATATTAAGGCAGAAATCAAAATAACAAAAATACTAAAGTTCAGAGGACAGTGTCATACTGCCTTGAATTTCACGCTGAAAGCTTCGGCCAAACCACTGTGCATTTTCTCCATCCATAAAAATCACAACTATTATTTCTACATCTGATAGATTTCAGAGTACTTTCAGAAAGTACGGTGCTTTCCCTGCAGGACACACGTAAC